AGTTTTGTGAATACTTATTTACAAAAGAACATGTGAACTGTATTTTGTAAAGGCTCATAATTTTCAAGAATGCGATGGTTATTTCGTTCAACAATACTTACACCAGAATGGTGTTGTTCCCGAAGTGATTATGGGGGGTGCCAAGATCCTATCGTTGAATATTTAAGATTGCATTGAATTCATCGACTCTCTCAGTTTCATACCCATGTGACTCGCAGGTTTTCCCAAAACCTTTGCAAAGTTTGAACAAACTCGCAAAAGGCTATTTTCCTCACCTATTTAACACAACCTAGGATCAAAACTAGTAGTAATAATATTTAATCAGGAAAACTTTTCCATTTTACAATGATTTTCAAAAAGGACCTGAACTGATATATTAAACTAAATTAAGCTAATACAATAAAATAAAGTAGTCGAGGAAAGAAATCCAATATCTACACACACTTGTAAAATTACTCCATTAAAAATCCATAAAGTTTACGTTTAAAAATAGAAATGTTCGTTGAGTTTCTAGTATCAGTGGTTAACGAGTTCCAGTCCTTAACAGCGTGATAGCAAGTTCTATATTTCCCCCAATTTCTTACTACACGGGGTAATCTTAAATTATCTTTATTCTTTAGGTTGTAACTATAAGTTTCACCTTGTGTTAGAAGTTCCATTGTGTGATCTATGTGACCGTTAACACGTTTATAAACATACAAACATCTATGATAAATTTTTTTTTTCTAATGTTATCCATTTCAGCGCAGCAAGGGCTTCAAAAGATGAGGAGTGTATCGGTCTATCTAAGATAATCTACGCAGCTTTATTTTGAAGAACTTGAATGTTATTCATGAGTGTCGCATTGTTTTTATCACCCATACAGTATCTGCATAGTCAAATAATGGAAGAACCAAACCGTTATAAAAAAGCATGCGCGCTTTGAAAGGAAGTAAATACTTAATTCTCTTTAAAAGACCTAATCTTTGATTAATCTTAGTTGTTAGAAGTTCGACATGATGATTCCATGTAAGATCCTCAGATATGGATACTCCTAGATATTTAAAATTTGGTACACTATCTAATTACTCGCCGGGGCACTCACGGATCACGGATACTGGATCTCCAATCGTCGATAGCCACAAAATAGAATATTAATGAGCTGCCTATTTATCCTTTTCAAAATGGCGGCCTTTCGCTGAGGTGGGCAAAATGTTTCAAACAATTTCGTTAAAATTTTCAACGAATTGTACCTGTGTTCTATGTATTTTGCATTGTGCCTATAACTCTGGAAATTCTTACTAGTTTAGTTAATGCATTTTTCTTGCTGCACGACTCTGAAAATCCGAAATTTGGATCGTTTTATAAACGAGGTTATAACTTAAACTACACAACCTAGTTTTAATAGATAACTACTTTATGGGAAGCATAATGGTGTCATATCAATATAAAATGTATCCAACAACAGTCCCTAACAGTTAGCTGTGGAAACGTGAAAACTCAAGTGTGAATATGATATTCTATTTGTAATGCCTAATAGCGCAATAAGATAAAAATACCACCGTTCGATTCAGCGTAAGAAATGATACTTACGGATATCAAATGTGTTACTAAACACCAGTTACAGTATTCTAGCGATTTATGGCCTTTGAAAATCAAGCGAAATTGTATTGTTGACAAATCGCTCGCAGTACGTATTGTTGACAAATCACTCGCAGTACGTTTGTCCTTGTATTTGTATTGCCTAATGGCGCAATAAGAATAAAAATACCACCGTTCGATTCAGCGTGGGAAATTGAAATTACGGATGTCAAATGCAGGGGCGGATCCAGACCGATGCCAGCGATGCGAATGCATCGGTCAAAATTGAGAAATCATGTTGCTCAATCATCCATTCCAGTTTGCGGAACAGATCAACAGAAGGAGTTGACATACTCTCGTCCAAAGCCAATCTGGCTGCTCTTTTTTGAAGTTTAAGCAAAGGGTCGATAAGCTCATGGCGTGCATTGCCCCAAATAGTGATGCAATAAAGTAAATGGGGGTAGATAAAAGAATAGTAAAACTTAATTCTACATTTCAGTGGAAGGGCTGGGCAAATACGCTTAAACAGATAAAGCCCGGAATTAAGCTATTTATATATCTTATCCACTTGGTTGTCCCAGGAGAGATTTTTATCGAGTAAGATACCTAAAAGTTTGCCAGAAGTAATTTCTTCAATCCAAAAATCCTCATAAAGTATGCTATCATAATCAAGCAGTGAATACTTACGCTTTGAATAAATTTTCATGAATTTGGTTTTGCTAAAATTTAAAGCCATATGGTTGCTTCTTGCCCAAGTAGAGGTAATACACAAATCAGTCGACAAAGAAGCTTTGATATCAGGTAGCTCACAGCCATGGGCTAAAAGAGTCGAGTCATCCGCAAAAAGAGAAGGATGAGAGGTAGTAAGAAAAGATGGAAGATCATTGATAAATATTAAGAATAGTAACGGGCCAAGAATGGAACCTTGAGGGACTCCAGTAATGATTGTTAAAGGTTCTGAAAGGACTTCGTTAGTTTGTACCTGTTGAGTTCGTCCTTCAAGATACGAGGCGAACCATTTTAGGGTTAGGTCAGTAGCCCCGTACGCGTGGATTTTTTGGAGCAAAATATTATGATCCACTAAATCGAAGGCTTTGGAAAAGTCAATATTGTTAACAAGATATTCGTAAATCATGTTTAATGACGTTTCACACGAGGGCCAGGTCTGAACCCATGTTGGTAATCGGATAGAATTTCATGCTCAGTTAAATATAAAAAAATATGAATTAAACACATGTTTTTCAAGGATTTTTGGCAGAATAACCAGGATAGAAATTGGTCTAAAGTTGCCGCCTCTTTCACTCATTTCGCCAGATTTGTGTATTGGGATTAATTTTGCTTTTTTCCACAAGGCTGGAAAAATACCTGTGCTGATGCTTAAGTTGCATATGGTGGTAACAGTATTGGAGATCGTGTTAGCAGGGAACTTTAGGAAGTGGGCGGGAAAACCATCAATTCCTGTCGCTTTAGAGGGTTTCAATGGACCTTTCCCCTTATAACTAAAATTTTGATCTAGACAAAAATTTCATCACAGCTTGAAAGAGCATCACAAAAGTAGTAATATTCCAAAGTTTCGTTTCAAAATGTTGTAAAATGCGGATAATATAGCCTTGCGAAATTTGCCGTTTTCCAGTCATTTTGTATTACGCATGGGAAATTGACAGCCCAATCGGGTGTTGGGGCATCAATTTCCCGTTTGTAATACAAATGACTGAAAATTGCAAATTTCGCAAGGCTATATTATCCGCATTTTACAACATTTCGCAACGAAACTTCGGAATATTACTAATTTTGTAATGCTCTTTCAAGCTGTGATGAAATTTTTGTCTAGACTTGTCTAGATCAAAATTTTATTTATAAGGGGAAAGGTCCATTGTTTCAGGGAATCAGAAACCTCCTCAATAGTAATAGGGGGATACTAAATTTAGTTTGCCTAACAGATAACGAGAAGGCTGACTGACTGTAGTCAACAGCCTCACTCATGTCAAATTTGTCCTGAATGTTGGTAAAATATTCATTAAAGAGATTACTGACAATTGCAAGGTTGTCATATCTCACATTATCAATAACTAAAGATAGAGGGGGAGGAGCCTTATTAGGATTTATAGTTGATTTCAAAACTCGCCAAATTTGTTTAGAATTCGTAGAATTGTCATTAAGAAGTGTTTTTATATAGGAGTTTTTTGCATTCCTGATCAAGTGTACAGACCTATTGCGCTAAGTCTTATATTGAGACCAATTAGTATTGTGAGCATCATTCGCATTCTTCCGGGCCATTTTAATTAAGATAGTAATCGCGATTGTGTTGAGCTATGCGGATTTCTTCACAAAACCATCCCGGACGTTTCTTAGATTTGACTCGTTTTTTTTATGAGAGGTGCATGGGTATTTAATACCGAATTAAAATGTTCATAAAATATTTCAAGTTGATCGTCAGGAGAGTCAAATATTTCTAATGTGGTAGAAGGCAGAGTAGCAAGGTCACTACAGAAGGAGTTACATTTAAATGCTTAGTTCTACGGTAAGTTATAGTTTGGTGATATTTCTGGTTACTAAATATGTGTGGATTAACTTTACGAGTTATATATATGGGAAGTGGTCGCTAAGCCCAATCTCGATTATGCCACTCCTTAAAACATGTTCATGATTAGAGGTGTAAATATGATCAATTAAAGTTCCCGAGACGGGTCGTGTTATGTTATTAATTAGTTGTTTGATCTGATATTGTGAGGCGAGTTGGCGTAGGAATCTATATTTGCTTTTATCAAGCACATTACAATTGAAATCACCAAGTATTAGGATTTCTTTATGCTCATTGTCAGCTATTTTCAGCAAGTTTTCAAATTGAGCTCTCCACTTGTTACTAGTATCCGGCTGATAAAGAAAATTAACCACAATGGATTGGGAATTTTGGAAAAGGAATTCAATCCACAAGTATTCTATTTCGTAATATTCATCCGAAACTTGAATATCACAACGAATGCTAAAATTGAGAGCATAAGGAATATAGACAATGAGACCACCACCTTTGGAGGTGGTTCGATCTCTTCTTACACAATGATAGCCGTCAATAGATACTGCGGAATCAGACCAAGTGGGATTGAGATGCGTTTCTGCGAAACAGAAGATTATATTGCTTTTTTGTCGACTGATTGTGGAATTTAAAATTAACAGTTTCACAGCATCAAGTTTGTTTGTAATGGCCTGGATACTTAGATAAAAAATGTTAGGCCTTTGGTTGGAATTACTGAGAGAGGGTCCTTTTCGGACAAGGTTTCATCACGAATAGTAAAAGAGGAATCGTTAACATTGGACGAGAGCAGGTCAGCAATGTCGTTGTCATTGCAGCAATTGAGGTAGGAGAAAGTGACTAATTGAGAATCGCTAAAAACAATTAATATGATTTATAAAGTTGTTAGTAAGAGTGTCCACACCACTACCATTTAAATGAAGGCCATATCTATCAAGATTTTGCACACTGATGTTTGAATTATTAATTAGATAATAGCCTTTAGATCTACTAAGGCATAGCAGTTCATTATTAATTTTGCTGATCTTAGTAGTAGCATCAGGAAAGTCGTTGCGAACAATCAGTTCCGATAGTGATATGGTAGTACGGGGACATTGGTCTTTGATCTGATTGCACAAGTTTTCAACATTTCTAATGACATCTTCTGGATTACTTTGGCGTACATCATTTGTACCAATATGTATTATAATGTGGTTCGGGTTGTCCCTCATAGTTGGTCTTGGTCATATCTAAAGATTTTGCACCCGGAAAAGAGCGGATGTAGACGATTTCCTAGTACTCACGGCCCGCCGAATTTGCCGAGATTGAACACGCTTTATCATTGAGTCTCCCAATATAGAAATCTTGGTACGGTGAGGTGGCATAGGTGGTTGCTGCATATCTCTAATCATAGTTGATTGATCACGTGAGTTGGATGGACTAGGTGGGTGGTGAGTTACTCTACATTCAGTAGAATTGACATCAATAGATGGACTGTGCCTGTGGGGACTTGGGTTGCAGTTTAATGAATTGGTGTTGTTAATCATATTCTTATTGGAAGCATCGGAGTTGACTTGCCCATGCGCTAACTGATGAATCGACTCCTGATTACTGCCATTGTGTAAACAAGGCTGATCAACACGATACTGATCAGGTATGGTTCTACAAATTGAGGCAGCAGAATATTGGGGGTAACGACTAATTGGAGTTGGCTTATTGCTTCTGTTGCTGACATTTAATTGATCATACCTTCTAGAAATCCATGGTTGACCACCTGGGACCAGGCTAGGTATATTGGTTTCAGAGGTTTGGGTGGCTGAATACAAAGGCTTTTGAGTAATTTGAATAGTGGGATGAACTCCCAATTCTCTTTGCTGACTATGATAATCATCACTGCTTGTGAGGTCTATTTGCACAGCAGAACTTGAATTATTAACCATACTATGGGCTTTTAAATTGTTTTGTTGGACAGAGGGATCACCGACACAGCTGTATTCAGGCTGCAAATTAGAAACATTTACCCTGTCTTTCTCCTGAACAACAATTTTAAGGACCGAACGCAAAGAGTCTCTCTCCTCTTCTGCTTTTAACCATCTCTGTTCCAGAATTGCATACTTAAGATTTTGATCTTTAATTACAGATTGATGCTCAGCACTAAGCTTAACAATTTCGCTTTTTATGTCAGCAATTTGTATAGATGCTTTAAGTTTCAAATCATCAATAACAGATTGGTGCTCATGCAGCTTCTAGCCTGGAAATCTCACTACCATTATCAGGTACTTGATTATTAATAACAGTCGATTGGATAAGAGATTGTAAAATAGCGATTTCATGCTTCATACCTTTAAGTTCAGCAACAATTTCGCGAACTGGGCATTGACACACCGTATGTTTATAATTACTTGCTCCATTTGACTCCCTAGACTCATTTTCATCAATGACTTCGCTATGCCCGGTTTCACAGCCTTCGCTTCGAACGCCATCGTTGCCAACATTGTTGTTTGCTCCCTCTGGTGCTTCGCCATTAGTATTATCGATCACGGCGTCTTTACCGTTGTCGTTTCCTTCATCG